TACCAAAACAGAGATATAGACCAATGGAACAGAACAGAAGCCTCGGAGGCAACGCCATACATCTACAACCGTCTGATCTTTGACAAACCTGACAAAAACAAGCAATGGGGACATGATTCCCTGTTTAATAAATGGTGTTGGGAAAATTGGCTAGCCATGTGCAGAAAGCAGAAACTGGACCCCTTCCTGACACTTTACACTAAAATGAACTCCAGATGGATTAAAGACTTAAACATAATACCTAACAGCATAAAAACCCTAGAAGAAAACCTAGGCAAAACCATTCAGGACATAGGCATAGGCAAGGGCTTCATGACTAAAACACCAAAAGCATTGGCAACAAAAGCCAAAACAGATAAATGGGACCTAATTATACTCCAGAGCTTCTGTACAGCAAAAGAAACAATCATTAGAGTGAACAGCAACCAGCAGAATGATAAAAAATTTGTGCAATCTACCCATCTGACAAAGGGCTAATATCCAGAATCTACGACGAACTAAAACAGATTTACAAGAAAAAAAACAACCTATTCAAAAGTGGGCGAAGGACATGAACACTTTTCAAAAGAAGGCATAAATTAGGCCAACAAACATGAAAAAATGCTTATCATCACTGGTCTTTAGAGAAACCCAAATCAAAACTACACTGAGATACCATTTCACGCCAGTTAGAATGGCGATCATTAAAAAATCTGGAGACAACAGGTGCTGGAGAGGATGGGGAGAAAAAGGAACAGTTTTACACTGTTGGTGGGATTGTAAATTAGTTCAACCATTGTGGAAGACAGTGTGGCAATTCCTCAAGGACCTAGAAATAGAAATTCTATTTGACCCAGCAATCCCATTACTGGATATATATCCAAAAGATTATAAATCGTTCTATTATAAAGACAAATGCACACGTATGTTCATTGTGACACTGTTTACAATAGCAAAGACCTGGAACCAACCCAAATGCCCATCGATGATAGACTGGACAAGGAAAATGTGGCACATATACACCAAGGAATACTATGCAGCCATAAAAAAAAATGAGTTCGTGTCCTTTGAAGACACATGGATGAACCTGGAAACCATCATTCTCAGCAAACTGACACCAGATCAGAAAATCAAACACCGCATGTTTTCACACATAGACGGGTGTTCAACAATGAGAACACATGGACACAAGGAGGGGAGCATCACACACTGGGGTCCATTGGTGGGGTCTAGGGGAGGGACAGTGGGAAGGGAGGTTGGGGAAGAATGACATGGGGAGAAATGCCAGATATAGGTGATGAGGGGATGGAGGCAGCAAACCACATTGCCATGTATGCACCTATGCAACAATACTGCATGATCTGCACATGTACCCCAGAACCTAATGTACAATAAAAAATATTTTTTAAAATAACCATTTAATTGTATACTTATAATGTGTGAATTTTGCAGTATATAAATTATACCTCAATAAACATATTTTAGGTGGACAAATTATCAGACAGAAAAAACAGACGATATTGAAAGGAATGATAATTAAACTGTTATGATTATTACTGTGGTATACTTAATTACCTCTAAATTTACTGGTTAAAACAACAGCTGTTTTATTATTCTCATAGATTATTTATATCAGGAGTTCAGGCAGGGCTCCATTGGGCAGTTATTTATCTCTTTGGCATTGACCAAGGTCACTTGATGTTGATCAGTAGATCTAGAGGGACCAAGACAGCTTCATTCATATATCTGGTACCTGAGTAGCAATGACTTGACAATTAGAACTACCAACCAGAGCACCTACATGTTGTCTGTCCATGTGACTTGTCTTCTTCATACTGTGGCGGCCTCAGAGCGGTAGGACTTCTTATATGGTGGCTCAAGGCTCCAACTGTGTGTTCTAGTTAACAAAGCAGAAAGTGCCTCACCTTTTGCAATAAGCTTCAGAAGTCATACAGCACTTTATGCCACAATCTCTTAGTTGAAAGCAGACAAAACCCACCTAGAATGAAGAAGAAGAAAAATTGGGCCCACTTCCTGATGAGACAAGTGTCAAAGAATTGGGGACATGTTTTTTTTCCCCCATTTATTTTATTGCATTTTAGGTTTTGGGGTACATGTGAAGAACATGGAAGATTGTTGCATAGGTACCCACGTGGCAGCGTAATTTGCTGCCTTCCTCCCCATCACCTACATCTGGCATCTCTCCCCTTGCTATCTCTCCCTCTCCCCAGCTCCCCACCCCCCACCGTCCCTCCCCTATTTCCCCCCAACTGACCCCAGTGTGTAGTGCTCTCCTCCCTGTGTCCATGTGTTCTCATTGTTCAACACCCGCCTATGAGTGAGAACATGCGGTGTTTGATCTTCTGCTCTTCTGTCAGTTTGCTGAGAATGATGGTTTCCAGGTTCATCCATGGGGGACATGTTTTAAAACTGCCTCATAGACTGACAGCTTACTTCTCTAGAGCCAAAAAGGAAGGAAGAAGACAATGAAATCTTATCTTTCGCATATTGAAAGAAAATAACTATCAACCTAGCAAGAATTGCCCTTTTATTGGCAATTTATATCAATAATAAATAAATAAATAACTTTATATTAAAATTTAAAATGTAGGGTATAAAAAAGGAAATACCAACCACTTATTTTTTATTAGGTTAACATAGCATTTGGTTGTAAACCTAAGTCAGCATGAGAAAGGAAAATTAAAAGTACAGACCAATTGCATTATAAACATGGGTTCAAAAAATCCTAAACAAAATTTAATAAACCTAATACAGCAATATATTAAAAAGATAATATTATTATCAAGCTGACTTATCCCAGGAGTACTAGATTAACATTAGAAAATCAAATGTGACAATCTACTATATTAATACATAAAAGGAAAAATATAATTTAATAATTCCAAATGCTTCAGAAAAAGCATTTGTCAAAAGTCAACATCCATTCATAATAAAAACTCACAGGAAATTCGGATTACAAGGAAATACTTATCATTATCCTGATAAACATCTGGAAAAAACTTAAAATTGACAGATATCACCATCTCTACTTAATGTTATATTGGAAATCCTAGTCAGTGTTCTTTGGGCAAAAAATGGAAAAAAGTATTTTAATATTGGAAAGGATTAAACAAAACTGCTATTATTTGAAGCATCATTCTGCTGCTTACATGCAGGTAAGGAATCGGCTGTTTGCTAAATGACTGGGTTTTAAGATAAGAGCACAAGTGGAAGTTGCATTTTCATCCTCATATCACACACCTCAGATCTGGAGGTGGGATTGATATTTTCAGGGTTCTTCGCTGCAGCTTTCATGTTATTACTCTTCCTTGCTCTCTCTCTTTTGATCTAGGGTCTCACTGTCACCCAGGCTGGAATGCTGTGGTGTGATCACAGTTCACTACTGCCACCTCAGCCTCCCAAATAGCTGGGACTACAGGCATGCGCCACCATGCCCAGCTATTTTTTAATTTTTTGAGGAGATGAGGTCTCACTATATTGCCCAGGTTGGTCTTGAACTCTTGGGCTCAAACAATCCTCCTGCCTTGGCTTCCCAAAGTGCTGGCATGAGCCACTGCACCTGGGCCTTTGTTTTCTTTTAAAGCTGGTGCAATCAGGCAATACCACCTGCAACCCTTGCTTAATGTTATGATCAACTGTCCTCTTGGTCATGCCTGCTCATTCACCGAAGATTTTATCTCCTGGAACACTATCTCTTTCTCTATTATCAGTGAATTTACTGCCCAAATAATGAAAAAGGCTGAGGGGAAGCAGTGTCCTCAGCAGACATCCAAATTTCAATTAGTGTGAGAAGGTGCAGAGAATACTTCCTGCAGCAACTGAAACAATAAAGAAATGGAAAGGGGCCTTTAGAGAGAAACCTAAGTACTGTCAGTCCTCCACATTGTCAACTGAAGAATCACAAGTTCATAAATTTGGAGTGAAAAGGGTTGCAGGCTGGGAAGTGTAGCCTCTGGCAGAAACTGGAAGCAAGCACTTTGAAGAATGAAGGATGAGACAGGAAGTTATGCTGAATGAGTTAGTTAAGTATACATATTTAACAGATTCCAGGAGGAGCTGTGAATATTTATGATGGGACACATGCAACCATGCATGTTACATACATTCCAAGTTCCCTTTGGGGTGGAGACTTTACATTTAGATGTGTGAAAATTAGGCTCTATATGTCAAAAGGTGAAACAAAGGACACAGAGGCAGCCTCTGTAAACTGGCCAGAGCCAGTTCATGGTCACTGGTCTCTCATTAAGAAGGAATGCTTGTCAGTTGTTGTGTCAAAACTGCAAAAAGGGAGGGGAATCCGGCACATCTTTAGAAAGGACTGGTTTCTGTTTAACCCTTAAGAAAGAAAGTCTAATGGCAGATTAGGGAGGGAGGGAGTGTAACAAGGCATGCCTGATCTCCCATCCCACCATGGTCAGAAATTCTTAAGCCTTCTCTGGGGTCTCCTTGGCCAAGAAGGGGATCTCTTCTGTTGTTTGGGGATGCTTAAGATTTTATTTTTATTTTTCAGTATCAATGGGGTTCTAGTCTCATATTCAAACAATCACGGATTGAAAGTATTCAAAGAACAACCCCAAAACGATAAAAGATAATACAACAATAAATAATAATACAAAGAAAAAATACAGTATAGCAACTGTTTACATAGCATTTACATTTTATTATGTTTCTATAAGAAATCTAGAGATGAGTTAAAGTACATGAGAGTATGTGCATAGGCTATAGTTATATGCAAATACTACATCATTTTACATAAGAGACCAGAGTATCACAGATTTTGGTATCTGCAGGGATCCTGGAACCAATCCTCCATGCATGCCTAGGGACAGTCAGATGTCTGAACAATTTCATGAAAAGACCAAATATTTTGAGTTTTATGTAGGCTTAAATTACTATAATGTAGATAGAGGCCACTTTTGTTTATCTGGAGTTAGACCACAGTTTTCTTGTTGATTTTAGTTGTTTCAGAATTTGATCTTAGATCTCACTTATACTTTCAGATTATATTTAAGAATCAAGCAAGCCGACCATATAACATCTACCCTCACGGAATCACTGATGTCCGTCCTTTGTACTCAAGGAGATTATCGAAAGGTAAGTATTCCCTCGATTTATAGGTCTTTTTTACCTGTAGATACAGATGAGATCAATATCATCAATAACAACTAAAATTATGTTGGTCCTTTCTCCAGCTGTTGGCTAGACCTCAAGCTCCAGTCTAAAGTTATAAAAATCAATTATAGAAATCCTTAGGTGATGTTTCTTTTATTATTATTAATTACTTTTTAAAAATTTATTTATTATACTTCAAGTTCTGGGGTACATGTGCAGATCGTGCAGGTTTGTTACAGGGGTATACACATGTCATGGTGGTGGTTTGCTGCATCCATCCCGCCCCGTCACCTACATTAGATATTTCTCCTAGTGCTATCCGTCCCCAATCCCCCCACCTCCTGCTATTCCTCCCCTAGCCCTCCACCCTGCAGCCCTAGGGTGTGATGTTTCCCTCCCTGTGTCCTTGTGTTCTCGTTGTTCAACACCCACTTATGAGTGAGAACATGCGGTGTTTGGTTTTCTGTTCTTGTGTCAGTTTGCTGAGAATGATGGTTTCCAGCTTCAACCATATCCCTGCAAAGGACATGAACTGATCCTTTTTTATGGCTGCATAGTATTCCATAGTATATATGTGCCACATTTTCTTTATCCAGTCTATCATTGATGGGCATTTGGGTTGGTTCCAAGTCTTTGCTATGGTAAACAGTGCTGCGATAAACATATGTGTGCATATGTCTTTATAATAGAATGATTTATAATTCTTTGGGTATATACCCAGTAATGGGATTGCTGGGTCAGATGGAATTTTTATTTCTAGGTCCTTGAGGAATCACCACACCATCTTCCACAATGGTTGAATTAATTTACACTCCCACCAACAGTGTAAAAGTCTTCCTATTTCTCCACATTCTCTCCAGCATCTGTTGTCTCCAGATTTTTTAATGATTGCCATTCTAACTGGCATGAGATGATATCTCAGTGTGGTTTTGATTTGCATTTCTCTAATGACTAGTGATGATGAGCATTTTTTCATATGTTTGTTGGCTGCATAAATGTCTTCTTTTGAAAAGTATCTGTTCATATTCTTTGCCCACTTTTTGATGGGGTTGTTTTTTTCTTGTAAATTTGTTTAAGTTCTCCATAGAGTCTGGATACTAGCCCTTTGTCAGATGGGTTGATGATTGCAAAATTTTTTTCTCATTCTGTTGGTTGCCAGTTCATTCTATTGATAGTTTCTTTTGCTGTGCAGAAGTTCTGGAGTTTTATTAGATCCCACTTGTCTGTTTTGGCTTTTGTTGCCATTGCTTTTGGTGTTTTAGTGTGAAGTCCTTGCCCATGCCTATTTCCTGAATGACATTGCCTAGGTTTTCTTCTAGAGTTTTTATGGTGTTAGGTCTTATGTTTAAATCTTTAATCCATCCTGAGTTAATTTTTGTATAAGGAATAAGGAAGGGATCCAGTTTCAGCTTTCTACCTATGGCTAGCCAGTTTTCCCAACATTTATTAAATAGGGAATCCTTTCCCCATTGCTTGTTTTTGTCAGGTTTGTCAAAGATGAGATGGTTGTAATTGTGAGGTGATGTTTCATGTAAGTTAGTGAACAGTCACCTGATGTCTTTTTCCTGGTACCTAGTGGTGATGTTCAGATATTGCACAGCCAATGAGATTGGCACTTTTCCACTGCAACTGCTATAAATGCCCTAAAATCTTGAAGCTGGTTCTTTTGGCATTTAAGATAATTTTTTTTTTTCTGAATACATTTTTCGGCTATATTCCAAACTTTTGGTATCTAGGAATCTCTTTTCATTTCTTTTTTTTTTTTGAGACGGAGTTTCGCTCTTGTTACCCAGGCTGGAGTGCAATGGCGCGATCTCGGCTCACCACAACCTCCGTCTTCTGGGTTCAAGCAATTCTCCTGCCTCAGCCTCCCGAGTAGCTGGGACTACAGGCGTGCGCCACCATGCCCAGCTAATTTTTGTATTTTTAGTAGAGACGGGGTTTCACCATGTTGACCAGGATGGTCTCGATCTCTTGACCTCGTGATCCACCCGCCTCGGCCTCCCAAAGTGCTAGGATTACAAGCG